GCTGGATAATACTCCATCTGGCCTCATTATTCAAACCTGGATATTACATGGCGGCTGGACCTAAAAATTATTCAGCCAAGAAAACATAATATCGGACTGCACGTTGCAAAATCATGTTACGGTTATTACTTAGTTTCCGTTCATAAAGTTAACCACATCAACAACTGTGAAATCTTCCTTTGTGGAACTCCCATAATAACGCCATTATTCGCGCAATAAAATAAAACATGAAAAGAAGCTCCTACGTTCACGGCGCCTGCATTAAATGACAATTTATCTCATGATAAACTCAAAAAATAAATGTGCTAATTTTCAGTGGGAGAATTTTGGATTTAACATGCAGTACTCTCTCGGTAGCTTCGACAATGTCAACTTCGTAAACAGCTGTCCCGAATCACGACAATGCCGGTAGGTTTCTGAATATGAACGAAGACTTTTGAAGAAAAGCTTGAGATGTCCAAAGACCCTTATGGGTTCACAAATTAATAAGCCGCTCCGTATGCAGGGGAGATCAGCTAAATGGGTCCCCGAATGCCTGAAAGTTGACAGACAGGTTCTGCGACGTTTCCAGTGACTCGACGCTAAATTATCACTGTTTGTGAAACTTAGTTTAACCGGTATGAGTCTGCAAACAGTTCAGTGACTCGGAGGTTCCAGAAGCTAAAAGACTCAAATTCGGTCAGATGGTTCACTGCCTCAGTTTCTGATGACGAACTCTCTTCGAAAGGGTCCTACTGGTGTAACGGTGGATACCACTGATGAGGCATGCAAGTGGTTTATTGTCCAGATAATTTTCTCTCTCTTCTCTACCACGTTTCTTCAGCGATTCACCAACTTCTTCCAACTTTTAGGACACCCGTTTCCTAAAGCATCACGTTTGGAACAAAATTTGGATGCGATTTCCGTGAATCTGCGTGGCGAAGGGGTAAGAACAAACAACGAATTCAAAATAAAATCACCTTGAATATTTGCTGATTGAAATACGTCAACCACAGCCTCTGAAAGAAAAGAGTGATAGTGGCACAAAACAGCTGATTTAGCATGTGCTTTGTACATATTTCACTGTCTGAAAAATTTCTCATCTAAAAAAATGTCTATGCATTCCGCAGAACAGAACAATTCCGGAGTTTGAAGAAGGCGTTCAATTTATTCTGAGGATACTTCTTGGAGGTTGAGAGCAGTGGCCGAGAGCTGTGGTTCACGCGTAAATTATTAGTCAATAATGCGTACTCTGGGTACTGCATTATTTGCGTTGCTCAAGCACCAACACCTATCGATTGCCACTTGACTAGCTACTCAGCCTCCTTTTATGGTATAGGCCAGGGTTCTTACCAAGCAACTGAGTAATTTTCTCGGCCCATGTCTCTTTGTTTCCCAACTAAATTACCTTTGATTTGAAATTGTTTGATTGTTTGGCTTCAAACAATCATGATATCTCATTCGTATATTCGTATATAGAGCTGATATTTGATTCCCTACTTCACAGTGTCTTGCAGTTTTTAGCACCTTACCCATTCAGCTTGATGCCCAACGTGATTTAGTTTAGGTGTTCATGTAGTTACCAACTCTGACCACCGTAAACTTACTTCATATGCCATGATTACTACCGTCTATGAAATATGGTTGGCTCCGCTAATCTACTTACACGTTAGGGTACCTCCAGCTACGAACTACTTGCCGGCCGCAAAAAAGTTTTTGTTTCTGTTAGCGCTATCCAGTGTAAAATCTCCACGTCTTAGCCGATGGAGTCCCATTTTCCCATATAAGATTGCATTAAGGAGCAAATTAAGGTACAGTAAATCGAAATAACGGAGTTTCTGTCTTATCTGATTTGACCCGTTCTAACAATCCGATTAGAACTCACGGTGTTTCCAACCAGCAACGCACATTACTCACAAACTAGAAGTTGTTGTTTTGTTCTTTAAAAACGTGGTTATTCCAGCTCACAGTTCGAAGTTTCTCTAGCCTGGAAGTAATTGGTACTGATAAACTCAGACTTCAATTCGGATGTTTACTTCCTTCACAAGGTGTACAAACTGATCGAATACCTGCTCCAGCATTCGGAAAGTCATGTGGTTAGACTGATGAAGATACGACCGAAATAAATTTTGAGACATGGACTTTAGTAACATAATAAAGATGGTTTAACGTTCCGTTTACTTGGCTAACTTGATCAATCCTGGATGGCGCTGACTGGATTCCAAGCCATCTCGATTGAATCGACAACCATTTCTGAATGGCCCAAGTCAAAACAGAAACGGCACACGAAGAAATCAAATAAGTATAAGGCCCGACACAACAGAAATCGGAAACCGACTTGTCAGAATGGGACCAAAAGTTCTATAAACGGCGGCTGTTAAACACACCAGAAAAGTTCAGGAATCACAGACCACAGCGCAATAAATTCTGAACGGAAGGATGGAGTTTCTGGAAAAGTGTGTTGTTAACGGAATCAGGATGGGATGCATGATGCAAGATGTGTCGTGCAAAGTTAAATTTCATCCTGGCCAGCAAAGTTTTGAGTAACTACGTTAGGAGCCAATAAGAACATCTTAAAAGGATTTCCTTTCTATGTTTATGGAGCGTGAAATATAGTTCATAAGAAATTCCGAAAGATATTGCGTCACAAAGTCCATTCTTCCGGTCCTTGTCTTAGGAGTTTTTCGCTTTCGTACCTAATATTTGGTGATACTGTTTGGTGATCACCTTTTCTAATGTATTCATCGGTGATCTGGGGCTAGGTAGGCTTGTGGCTCCTTATGTGAGCAGAGTAGTTCATTTGTCAATCGTGATTGTATTATATTAGCATTGGATGCAATTTACCAAAAACGATTTGCATCATGCATCTTTTCCCACAGTGTGCATCGGGACAAAGGTGGGACTAGGAAAAACAAGGTTCTTTATTATAGGTATTTTCGAAGCCTTTCATCATCAATAACTTGGACCGGTTGAAGGTCGGTTAGTGTAAATCTCCTCAACATGAGGAAAAGATTGTGGTTAAGCCGGAATAGAGGTTGGTGCGAGATGCGGTAAACTTCTCCTTGCTGCTTACAAGCGGTTTATCCTAAACAGAGATCTTTATCCAAGAGCACCCATGAACTCTGCCCAATACAGTTTCAATATTTTGAGGACTACGGTTTTGCAGAATTTCAGTTTTGATGGTTGCTATTATCAAAAATCAAAAACGTACCCAACTGTGTGCTGATTTCCTCTGGACCAGTGACTGGAACGAAAAGTTGCACTCATCGTAATTCTTGCTATCCAACTAGCAGTTTAATATGAAACAGATTTACAGATTCTGAATCAACCGCAGTGATGATAATGTTTCAGAAACAAGATGAAATTTAGTGCGTTGGTTTAAAGGCATCGCATGAAAGGGAACGAAAGGTCAAATCCGCTAGCCAGTTTATTGTGAGTCGCAGTGCAAGCCGTTTTCTTCGAAATTTGGGCAGTTTAAAATGTGTTTTGTTCACTGTGATGACTCTGGCTTTTATCGTTTGTATTTTTCTTTGGTAGAGAAATTACCTAGCTTTTTATAATAAATGATGTATAATTCAGCATGATTTGTGTGGCAAATATCGATTCGTTTGATCGCCACTCTATAAGTTATTATAAAAGTGATTTACTGAAAGGAATGATAGATAAAATCCAGGAAATCCGATTTAGTTTTGGCGTATTAATAAAACTACTGTACTCCCAGTTTAATGAGGCATCTTTGGAGAGATTTTAAAGTTTCTCTTTCCTGCGATGGTAGAATGCAAAATAAGAAATACGCCCAAAGTTCCCTACATCGAGTGTACGAAATAAGATTTGTAGCCAGTGGCTTTATACAGCGCAGGCAGAGGTTTATATTTGGGTTTAGCGAATGCTTCAGGCTTGAAATAATTTTCATTTGCGTGATTTCGTCAAACAAGTTGAAACAGTTCAGTGGGCACCAAGCCTTATGATTCTAGTGCCAATGAACTAATATGTTACCCATTTGACTGGAGGGGATACATATTAGAATAAGGGTTTGCATTAGCAAAACAATGCCTGAAACGGAAAATATTCCATGTTCCTATATTGTTTGTTTCTCTGACAGGCTTCGTTTTAAAACACCCGGTACATAAATATCGGCGTCTGCAGACGATGAATCGTTATGACGATTTGGGACAAGCTTGTTTTGTTGAGTTTGTGCACAGAATCTAGGCTGCGTACAAGTACTTTGATCTAAAGCTGAGCTCGATCGTTGCTTTGAGGATCAATGATTATGGCAAGCGCCTTATGCCTTGTACTGCCTGTTATCTATAATGACCTCAATCGGATGTTTTAAGCTGCGGAATGGGACGCAGAATTGTATGATAACCTGATTTGGAGCAGTAGACTGAAGCATGAAATAAATATGGCATACTAATTGCAATCCCATTAGCTAAATTTACTAATTTTCTGATGTGCCATAGTTGCTATCGACCCTCATCTATGTAATAAACTAAATCGAACAAACGGATGTAAATCTATATTCCTTGAGACCTGCTTTCAGGTGCATACAATAGGCATTTTTCTGACTGGTGTTTGTCGGAAAGAAAAGCAACCATAATTTCGAATATAGAAATAAAAACCGGCACCCAATCCTTAAGTGTTTATTAGAAATGTGCTTCTTGGATAGTACGGCGTATCTGATTTGGATTTCGTTTACTTCTACAAAACAAAATATGATAGGACGCCATGCTAACATCCTGTAGACGATATCAGTTTGATCAGTAACAAATATTTTTCTGCCAAAAGCCTAGCTTGCAGAACTGCTCAGCAGACACCTGAGTTTACTCACATAGGTAAAGTTAAATGGGCGCTGAATTCCTAATCCTCAAATTTCAAGCAGGATTTTCCGAGGTGTCTGAGAGGATTTCATTAATTTTTGTTAAGAATTCTCTTGTGGTGAATAAATACATTTTGCAAAGTATGTACACATTGACATCAGTTTATTTGTTGCATATACATCACGTAGTATATTCTCAAGCGTTACATAGACTGTCTAACGACCAGACCTGTTAGTGTTGTTAAGTATGGAACATCCATTGTTACGGTGGGTTTGCTTTCCGAAAACCTCAATGTAGTCCCCACAAGACCGTTTGCAGACTGTTTGTTCTTTTGAAACATTCCGAAAATGACCGAGAGTGATACAGTCTTTGAGTCATCAGTATTACTGATGCTCAGGCAGTGGACTGCAGCGACAGGGTAAACTCTGGTGATGATGTTCCATCTGGCGTAAAACTGAATGCAAGTTTGGTTAGAAAAATAGGTGAAAATGTGGGACAACAGAAGGAATTCCGCGTAAAAATGAATCATGCCTGTGTAAAACTGCAACATCTAAACGTCAGGGTGTGATTATTTTTACAACGTTTGTTGAGTACTGTCCGGGTATTTTTGTTCAACAAAGTTGCCATCCGAGTTAAGTAGGAACCTGAGGATCTACATGAAGGCAGCACAATCTACAAATCGTTGAGGTTTTGTACGTGTTATGGTTGATAAACCAAATAACTGTTTCTGAACATGTGACCCAAAAACATACAGCTTACAAGAATGTGTCTAAGAAACTAGAACTATATCCACCAGTCAGAAAGGCCACTCCGGATGAATAGCATACTAGTTCAGGAGCACGACGTTATTCAATGTGAACGTGTACAGAAACGATGGGGAATTTTGCGTGACTCTAGAATGGTGGCTTTTATTTTGCTGCGTGCTGCTTAACGGAATTTTGAGTGATGGAAAAAATGTGCATAACAAATCATCAAAGGAGATAACCAGAGTGCATCAAGGAACCTAATGAGATTTACGTAGATTTCCACTGTATGGCATATACAGCCCCAGTGAATCAAGTTTTGAACACTAGGCGCTTTCCCTCATATGAGATTCTACACTCAAGAAGGCTGACGCTGTACCTTTTCAGTTAGTGTTTGTGTAGGTGAAAGCGGAAATTGGCAGACTGTCAAACTGAACCATTATCTATATATGCCGCCTCTCTGCATGGTGGGCATAAGTCACCAAGATAAATCCTCTCTCTGTAGGAACGCTATCTCACCGTTCTGATTCTGAGTGTCTCACATTGCTAAAAAGTGAACCACCGCGATGTGCTGCTAATGACCAATTACCACTGACGTCCTCCAAAGTATAGTATCACTTGGGAATGGTCTCAGTGAAAGTGCAGTGACGATGTCTCCTCGTATGGTGACGAAACGTTTACAAGCCAATTACCAAGCTCGGCTAACAGATCAACAACCATCTGACCAATGTATGGCATATACAGCCCCAGTGAATCAAGTTTTGAACACTAGGCGCTTTCCCTCATATGAGATTCTACACTCAAGAAGGCTGACGCTGTACCTTTTCAGTTAGTGTTTGTGTAGGTGAAAGCGGAAATTGGCAGACTGTCAAACTGAACCATTATCTATATATGCCGCCTCTCTGCATGGTGGGCATAAGTCACCAAGATAAATCCTCTCTCTGTAGGAACGCTATCTCACCGTTCTGATTCTGAGTGTCTCACATTGCTAAAAAGTGAACCACCGCGATGTGCTGCTAATGACCAATTACCACTGACGTCCTCCAAAGTATAGTATCACTTGGGAATGGTCTCAGTGAAAGTGCAGTGACGATGTCTCCTCGTATGGTGACGAAACGTTTACAAGCCAATTGCCAAGCTCGGCTAACAGATCAACAACTGACCGACCAAAAACCACTACACCCAGGCGATCTGCGAATTGAAGTAAGTACGGCACTATTACAACCTGTCATTTATGCACTCGGTGAGAGGTCCACCTCAACAGGACGGTACGGTTTCTATCACCTCAGATGGTATATAGCATTGCCATCCCAAAATTACTTCAAACTAACCACTCACTAACACGGTGTTACTGGTCCCGAACACTCAGACCGGCACCTCGGTTAGTCGTCGGAATGCAGAATTCTATGGGCTTCGACCTGGGTTGAGTACTGCTTCACCCAACAGGGCATTTGAAGTGAAATGGATGCAGATGAAATTGATACTAATATCCTGTGACCCACAATCACAAGTTATCGACCGCGCAGTTGTGAACTCGCTGAATATAGCTGGAAGGGTGGAAGGGTTGTTCAGTCAGACTCCTAGCCTAGTTAGATAATTTGATTATTGGGAGTTAGTGTCACAAACTAAAGGTCTTGAGATTATCGCAAACGAACCGTCGTTAAATTACACGCACATCCTTTCGATCTATGGTTGTTGTTGATTCCCCCTCTGAATCAACGGTGAACAAAGGTAACTTTCCTTGTTTTCTGACTACTCATGAGTAACATGACTTACACCTGTTTATTACGACACCGTTTCGTTTTCTTGCTGCTCGTTTCCACCCACGTTTCGTTCCTACTTAAGGTCTGCTTATTTCTCAGTTACTGATGTCAATATTTTGTTGCCCGTCTGTCATTGCCTGCAAGTTCGTCTCGAATTCACCTATTTTCGAGCGCCCACTCCGATGGTCCGGATATCGCCCCGGACCCTCCGGACGACAGGCGAACGTGCCACTACCCGCACCGACCTGACGCCCTGGGCAGCTGATTATTTTGTATTACCCATGTATCGCGCCTGTCAGATAGCCCTTGCTGAGCTTTGTTTTAAACGGACGAAACCGCGCAATCTGACCTTCCACGCGACACGAGCGGCTGCGTCGACGCCGACCGAAAGACAGTCCCTCACATCCCGAACGTACTGACCCCTGCGTCGTTACGGCCAACTCACACTGTCAGACTGCCCCTATATGTATGTTTGTACATCGTCTGGTACTTACTTGTTGTTGCCCCTATAGAAATCCGTGCTGCGACAGTGGCTATTTCCCGCTCCTGCTGATTGCGTCAGTGTTGATTGTACGTTTGCTTAATTCATGATGCTTACTAATCCGTTTGTCTGTAGAGCCAATTCCTGTCAGTCCTCAATATATCATCTGCTGCCCCACGTCTGTCTGATCCTATTGACTACTGGCTACGAACTGCGTATAATCAAAGAGCCGCAATCGCCCTGTGAGATCCGTAACCGCCCGGATCTTACAGTTGTCAAAGTTGGAAATAAAGATGTTCAACATATGAAATCAATGATTTCTCTTTCAATTTTGCAGGGATCACTACTCTTGGTTCTCCTAACTAATAGAAACGTCTTGACTCGGTTCTTCATGTTTTCTGCGTCAAGTTCCAGGACTTCGGCCATCCTACTTTGCTTTTGGGCTTTCAGCATTCAGGCGGCTCAAAAAAGTTCAATATTACCGGTTTTCCCGATTACGATACAACTAATGTAAACGATAAAATCCATTACACGGCCCACGTAGGACTACAACGTTACTTCCAGGCACTTTCCAATACAGCATTAGACTTTAAGCCAATGATTTCTATTCAAAACTTGCGGGTGTAAGAGGAAGAGCTCAACAATGTGCCGACAAAAAGTGAAAAGTAACATAAACAGCGCAGTACAGTTACGGAGATTTAATAGTGCTTCTTTGGCTTTCTGTGTGCATATTAACCTCAACGTTACACTTACTTCTGGTATACAACTTGAACTTAAAACAGTGACACTTGGAGATCACTAAGTAAGGAGCAGTAAGAAGCTCAGTATCCTATTATTCTATTTTCATTGCCGAACTTACGTTTTTGCGTAGGTTGTAAAGGATGTTGCCCAAGGAATGTGTCACTCCAGCGGAAGTTGTGGATGGTTGAACCCAGTTGCCAGTTATCCTGAACTCTATGGGTGTAGAAACAGAATAGTTATTTTATTGGTCAGTTTACCTCAAAATCCGTACGTAAGGAATACATGGATTGAAATCGGAAAACATCCAGGAAGCCGGCTGATGTATGGTGAAATAGTTACAAAGAGTGAGCAATTCATTTTATGTAGTCACTGTGCTAGGAGAAACACCTTCACGGATTTGTTTTTAAAGGAGTTTCAGCAGACATGGATCAGTATGGCGCAGACATCTGCCGGGTCTTTGGGTATAGGCGAGATTTCGATGTTAATATGCTGACGGTAACCGATTTGTTTTCTGTTTTATTTAGTACCCAAACACGGTGGGTTGAAAGCATTTGCTATAAACTCTAGAATGGATGAACTGTAAGTTTGATTTTCCCAGGACCAGTTCGGCAGCTGATTACCCTTCCCAAATACTGTGTTCTAGATATTTTGAACTTTATGTGGTGTATAAGACAGTTTAGCTTCTGTAGTCATAACGACGGCCTCAAAAATCCCCACGAAATCCGCGCGTGCGTTCAATTTCATACTGACTGACTTGTTCGGCCAAGGAAATACGGGACTGGAAGCTGCACTAATTTTGTAGAAGTAAGTCGAGAATCTTTTCTAACTAACTATTTCCTCCCTCTAAGTACTCACTGGATTCCGATCCATCGTTCTGTTCAAGAAAACTGGTAACTGTCCCTTCCGGCTTGATAGACCAGGTCAAATTGCTGTGTCCGTGGGTCACTCACTCGTCCATTTGTACCTCATGCTTAGCTCCCTGTACAACTAGTTCATGTTTTTCGTTATCTGTAAACGCATTCTCAAAATTGTGGTTTGGGCCAAAATGAAATATTTTTGTGCTGGGATTAACGCACCAAGTAAGCAAAATCCTTCAGAATAATAAACGTTATTTTTTTCTCAAACGGTCAACATATTGTCCTGGAAAGTACGCTATTCGGAAACCCCAGGAAACCACTTATGAAAAACCCTGGAATGTGGCATGACGCGACGCTGTGCTGATACGATTTTCTGACGGCAATGTCTGGTGCACTCAAGAAAATACCGATTAATCCCTGGTTGTTTCCGGAATGAGGGGTTCTGCCGGATACTTAATTAGATGTTATTAACTAAGGAATGTCGGTTGGATGTTTTCGGTGAGCATTGTTCATCTCATTGTTTACATAATCCCCATCTATAATATCACTGGGAGAACGGCGCTTCTAGGCTCGGTAAGTTTGCCTCGAAACAAAACAAACTCAATAGCTACTTTAGTAAAACACATCAAACTCAATGGTCTCATTTGCTACGTTCCTTCCTCAATAAATTTCATCTGGCAGTGGTCATAAGTTGAAAAACCACTCTGAATTCACTGGAAATCGAATCCTTAAAAACTGTGAAAGACAATCGAATATCGGGGAAATTCAAAGCGGTATATGGGTTTCTCTCGCCAAGGTCAGGTTTTATCAGCAGCCAAAGACTTAGTCCACAACGATTAGCTTACAAGTTTTCATTCCCTATGTGCCGTGGTTTACCATACAGAGGTTAAAAAGTTCACACATCAACGAGTACACGCCCACTGGTCGTCGGGTCGTTCATACGTTAGACTGTTGTTAAAGCCTGCAGTAACCATAAAAGGGCCAGAAAATAAAGCAAAAAAAGGTAGATTATTAGTTCTTTTCTTGATGTTTAGCCGGCTTCGGTATCACCATCCAGTTACACCGCATCTTGACCCGTTCAACTCACAGTATTCTCTCACAATTATCTCTGCAAAACACTGCTTTATGTATGATTTCAGTTGGTTGTATCCTACAGGACAACAGCTGTACGGCGATGGGGGCCTGTGTAGCTGTGCGCTGATAGTAGTATCATGGACCGCTTATAATACAGGATGATGGGCGTGCTCAGTATAATAACGAAGGACTTTTCTTGGGGAGATATCCAAATACACAGCGCGGAAACATTTAGATTACCACAACATTGACTTTCACCTGTTTTAATAACTATCCACTTCTCAGTATTGCTAGGCGTGTTTGTTGATTTTTGGAATGATTACTACACTTTCAGTTACATGAATTAATATTAATCTCACAACAGGAAAATCTTGTCAGAAATTGTAAATGCTACCGTGGTTTCTTTGCTTGAAATTAAACGACCATAGTTTTCGTCGCCTGTTTCGAATCGGAGCGTTTATCCTAGGAGAAGACCATGAACTGACTATGTATTTCGTTTCCGTTTCTACAACCTACGACGTAGGTGTAATGACAATTGAAGTCTTTAGTTGGAAGTGCCATCCTTGTTCACGTCACATGATCCAATCAAAAGTTTGGTTTATTTTCTGTCCGTGAGGTGGTTAAGTGTTCGCCCAAATGAGTCCAGAATCGGCTACTACAAATCCAGTTTTGAACCAATCATTTACATTAAAGTTGAGCACTAGCTGCGCGCCTTTCGCAGAATTTTCACTGGGGTCATAGGATAAGACATGTTTTTGTCCGCTATGCTATTTTAATCATCACAATCGGCTTCTGTTTTGGGAACATAGTTTATTTTCTTTTTTTGGGCAACACTGGACCTGAGTAAAACCTAGCAACCGAAAAATGAATTGGGCCACTTGTGTTTACACCCCTTTGAACTCCTAGGGTGTTAACAAACTGTTTTCTTTATTTCTTTCAAATCCAAGTTAACAGCACCTAAATGTTAACAGCGGCACTTAAAGAAGCGTATGCGGTCAATATCAGTGGAAATCGGACTCACTCATCACATAGCTAGAATCTTCATTTTCTGTCGGATCAAACAAATAAATGAACAATGAAATGAACATCTTAAGTTACCCTGTAGACCATAGGTAAGGAATTTGCTTTTGGCATACCAAGAATGTTTCTAATGTTTGGGTCACATCTCGGTTCCACCTAATCCATACACTCGTTTACCCTAGTTGCTGCGCATATTTATTTTTCAGCCAATGTGCTAAAAAAACGTAGTTAAAGTTGCTCAAACGACGAACACCTAAAAGAGTGAAGTCAACTATTGGGTATTAAAATTCATCAATATTATGAGGGGATTTCATTCAGCTTCTTAAATGATAGTTTGATACCATAATCTTGTTTTGAAAATAAATAACTGATTTGCCGAAATGAAAGAATTTGTAAACTAACTTGGTGTCGCGTGTAGACTGGAATAAATCTTATCTAAATTTCTCACTCATTTCCAAAAATTGCGAGCAATACATTCAGTCGGGGAGATATTCCGTAATGTTAGAAAAATGGTAACAACCGGAATATGTGGGAGCCTTTGTGCAGCATAATCAGTTGAGGTATCTGTCGAATGAGGGATTCGGTTGAATCTGGTATTATTATCAACCTCAGCGTTTGAAATCTGGTGTTAAAGTTGAACATAAGGTTGGTGGAAATTTGGAGGTCCTAACAGTCGTAGCCAGTTAAGAAGCAGTAAGCAATTACAGGAAGGCTAAGGCTGAATGGTATTCATGAGTATCTGGGGATACTCTGTTGAGCAAGCTTGTTGGAAAGAACTAACCGTTCGACAGAATCTATCGCGCTCTTGAAGTCAAGGAACTGTAGGACACGCCTACATATGCTGGTACTCCAGTACTGGAGGTAGTTCACACAGCCCCTTCTTGCTTGTAGCTCTGCCTGTAGTACGAAAGCTTGTCTAGGAGAGGGCAAAGGACAAACGGATTGCCATCTCTTATATCTATACATTCTGCTACAAAAATTCGATAATAACTATAGTGAACGTTACAGTACGTACGAGGAAGCAAGGAAACCTCGTAACTTTCATTCAGAAGTATTGCTAGTTCTGGGAGACAGATGGTAGGAATTTCTGACAGAAAGATAGATTTAACGTAATAAACAGGATATATCTACGATATCGCCGTCAAAAGCTGGCTAGAGTGTGCTCCAGATGTTATGCCGGGATATAAATGAAATATCCGCCGAATAAAATTAGTTGATCCGGTTAACGATTATGATACCTTTGGCCGGATCAGTTAGCTGATTACGTTTACAAGACGGAAAAACTATTCGGAAGAGCGGTTATGAGGGGTGGAAAGCCCTGTTTAAGTCTACAGTACTGAACTCCACTGGATTTCGGAAACTGCCTTGTGATACAGATTTATTGTTGTACATATATGATGTAACCATCACAAATTCTTCAGAAACTAAGAAGCTTCTTGTTTATTTGAAAACTAGTTAATTTAGTTGTTTAACCTTTGTGCCCCATCATTTCCAATACACCTTTGGTCACTTAATACTTAAATGCACATCTGCAAGCCCAGTAAATTGTAGGAGCCGCGCTCTTGGATATGTTATGGTGCACTCATTCCTTAATGTTTTTCCTACTGCCGTTTTTAGGACTTTGTAGCTGTGCGCGATGTACACAAACTCAAGTATTCTTCCGTAGTAGGAATGTAACTTATTGATGGTCCTGCTTGAGAAAGAAGCTACTCTTGTTTTCAAAAGGCGGCCACTGTTTTGGAACCTAATTACATCAAGTGCATCACTGAAAGGGCAGATAATTAGCAGGTATACAGCCTATCACCTCAAAAGTAGAGTATTATGTCCGCTCATCTGAATTCGTCTCAAGATTTTGAACCATTACACGGTTTGACAAGATAATATCGGCCGAAAACTTTCACCATTATATTTCAGAATACAGACTAACCTCCAAACTTCTACGTTTCCGCTCTCGTGCTGAATATATTTTAGAAACAAGGAGTGCTTTTCGAATTCAGAGCCTTATGGTCTACTCCAGTGTTATGCTTCCCTTTAAGAAGGCAACTGTGATTTCCAAAACCTAGTTCACTGAGCCAGATTTTTTGGGAGATGTTCCCTAGATGGATTTCAATTTCGACATTAAAATTTTGGGTGTCTCCATGAAAAGGGCCAGGATCTGTCTCTCTTCAAATTAGTGGTTTCCAATAGATGGTTTTTCTGTTAGTTTTACGCAGGAATGTGGCCATAATTTAATAACACCCATCCAGTGACTTTTTTCAAAGGTTGAATATAAACCAATGAAGCTTCAGATCACTTAGTAGGTCACTCTGATATCATCCTCGTAAGAGTACCGTAGGTGGTGATTTTTTCATCAAGGGGTCTATGTATACGGTCTGCAGTGAGCGTTCCGTTGGCACCTGCTCAAGAATGATTGAGCTTTCGATTCATATTTGATTTGTCTGACGAAGCTCGACGGGATGATGTACTGGTGTTGCCTTATGTATTAGTGTGTGATGTTTGCTTGGGTACACTTAACGAGCCTCAAACAGACGGCACGCAGATTTTATTGCTCCGTCGAATCGTGGGGACGGCTGACTATTCGGTGAAACAGTGACCACTGGCGTGATCATACGCAATGGAACACGTGGAGATTTCCTAGTTTATCAAACAGAATGCGCTGTTCATGCAGCGCATCCGAGTCGGAAAACGTATCGTGGTTGACGAATCAGATTTGTCGCTTCACATGATTCTCCGCGGACCCCAGCAAGTTCTCCCGGCCGAACAGTTTCGTAACTGCCCACACAGGGGATGTGCTATCATGTGAATGAGCTTCGTAATGTCTGACCTCACGTTTACCAGTGATAAACAGTAATATTATCCCATCTTTTTGGACCACCATGGTATTGTAATATGTTAGGAATGGCCAACCTCTAAGTGTGTCTTTTTAATCGACATGGAAAGAGAGATGTACTTGAGTCATTGGCAAAAAACTGACTAAGCATTCCATCTTGACGAGATCAACCAACAGAATAAGTACACATGTTCCCGATTAGTTAGTTATGATAGTTGCTCCTTCGTTATTCGGGAGGCATGGTCGTATGTTTTATATGTCTTTTGGTGAGTGTATATGTAAACCAGCTGTGGTCGTACACGATTTTAATGTGTTTTCGGAACGCTTGGTTGATAGAACTTGGCGTGCAGAAGCAATAGTGATTGAAACTGGTGTCTTTTCTGCACCTTCTACTAACTCACTAATGCGCCGCTCGTGCACGAACATTTCTAGTCCTCATTCACCGATAGTGCATTGTATTTTAAAGCCATCATTGATGACGAGATAAGACTGCTCCTAATTTGAAACGGCTTTGCACATCCTCTAGACAACTTCACCTATAGAATGACTGAAGGAGTGAGCAACAGTTCCAAAGTAACTGAGCTTATGGGTACATCGAAGTAGATAGCCTGTTGTATAGGTTCGGGGTATTCTGGATTCACCCTCATGGCATGATTTTGCATCTCGAAGGTTCAAAGTGTACCCAAACATTTTTCTTCTTTCCAGCAGAATAGCTACGGCTGAGGAAGATAATTTGCCGTCCGGATTATCTCCAGCAAAAAAATTGAAAACAGAATTTGATCCAATACCCGATTTGGTTATTACATGATGCAGAGAACGTCATACAGAATCAATGTCAGTGAATTAGTTCCAAGAATCAAACAGTATATGATGAAACGGGGTTCCGGCCCACGACAGAATATCAGCTCATTCACAAATCTGTTCTCCTTCTATTGTTACTCAACTCATTTGAAAAGAAAGCGTTCTCAACCACCATCAGTATTTTAGTGGTGCCGTCACAGGCCACAGTATAGCGGGTTCTTGGTCAGCCACACATTCAGTGATTTTACTGAATGCAGAAAAAATCCGTATGCTGAACTCACGGTTAATCGAGATCTGTTAGCAATAATGCTAACATTGGGAGATAGTGCTTATTGGTCATTGAACGACACTCGTACAATCGGTTTCGTTGCCAATAAAATAAAACGTTCAGAATAGAAAAAGCCAATAGAAGTTGCATGGAAAGCTAAAACGATTTTCACACCGAACACTCTACCATGTACAAATTTTATGCGCGTGTTTGGTCAAAAGTCCGATCAGCTATGAGGAGCGAGCTTTCGATGCCCACCACCAAGCCCCATCGGGCCATCGCACTGCATCTATGGCCGTCTACACAGGTCGGCTTATTGGCTTGATCTTATTAGTATGCCTGTCCACCGAGCTCGCAATATTCGAGACAGGGGAAATTGGTTATGCTCGCGATCGTGTGTGGGCCAAATATTCATCCACTTGCGGTCGGTGCAACATAGGAAGTGCCAAACAGTCTTCAAACTCGTGCAACAAGTGATCACACAGCACAAATGAATGAAGATTGTGCGGCTTAGTACATTTATCAGAGCAGATGAACATTAGTCAGATCTTCTAATAGCCTAATGCTGACTGGATACTAAGCTCAGCGTACAAGACCATTTTCCTTATTCAGAATGAGTGTCCCGGAGTGGCCTGGCTTTAGTCAAATTCAGTTAGTTGACTTCCAGCACACAGGCATCATGATCACAATGTGATGACTCGAGTGACCACCGTTGTGCAACACTGAGGAGGGACGAGATCCCGAGCAGCATGCACACCAAGGGTCCAAGGTTTCTGTTGGTGGTCTCCAGACTTATGGATAACGTACACTTATCGGTTCATTCAGTGATCCTGGAAAACCCAGGTGTACATGTTACGTTTAACGCTTTTCGTGAAGCAGGTTTGAAGAACGATACGGACCTGACTCTACCTGTATCTTCTGAAAGCCTTATGGTAAACAAATTTTATGAATACATCATAATTGCACAAAAGCTCGTTGTTCGGACAGTCGTATCATGAATCAATCAAGCACCAAACGCTAGACTCCTCCGTTTCTGTTTGGTGACCCATCGGATTCATGCACTACAGATGAATGTAACAACAGTCCTTTGTAATCTCAGTAGTGTTTGTGAGACTCAAAGTCGGAAACGACGGCTGATGAAGAAAAATTCATCAATTCGATTTTTGGAAGTACGTTTTTGATTTGTTTCAGAACATTTTAATTTTCAGTACTGGTTGGGGAAGCCACTGGTAACCAAACAGAAGAGCGAATTATGGTGTAACTTTGGTATCCGTCTTACGCGCTGGCTGCATTAGTGAGTAAGTTACTGGAATAGCTAGAATGTAACGGGTTTTGCGAAAAAAGTAGATGTAAATACGGAGCATCACAAAAGCAACATTCAAAGGAAATGCTTCGCCACCGAATGTTTCATCCGTAATAACAAGGAAAAGCAGTTGCGTCTACCTAATATGGTGACACAAAAGAACCAGTCGGAGCGAGCAGCAAACTAGTAGAAATGAACTGTCCATCAAATCCACTAAAGTTACAATGAACTATGTATCCAAATTGGTTGCACGAAACCATTTTCATTACAATCTCTCGTCTATACGTATTCATCAACGGTAGGTAAAACTACGCTCTTTGAAATGACGATTACAATGTGACGCACTTAGTAAAGGCAGGCTTGTTGGAAGCAGCCGAACCAAGATCACGTCATCTCTCAGCAGCAGTGTATGAAAACCGATTTTTGACTGTTCATAAGGAGTATTCACACAAACAAACGAGGGTACAAACCGAAACCAACCTACCAACAACGGACAGCGTGCCTTCACCGAACCGACTTTTAATTGTCCGATCGACTTGATCTTTAACGACATGGAAGCACGCTTTTCGTACGGTGGGGTTTTCAAAGCGGAAGAATAAATTGATTTTGTTACCAGAGAAACCTTGGGGCCCACAGCCAACTAGCCACCCGTTACAAGAAATTTGCACCGTCCGAATCAGTGGAAGGACCTGGAAAACAAGAAATAGCCATTTCGACTGGACTGACCAATGAGATTTCACTTTGAATTCTGACGCTACCAAAGTTCTTTACCGTGAGTAAAAATAAAGAAGTCATTGCGAGCGGTAAATCCACGCTTATTGTACTTTTAACTGCTTTTTCATTCTGAAGATTTGTTAGCTGGGGAGATATCGCATCACAAAAAAGACAAGTTGTGATTGTGTAGGTACAATTCCGCTATGAATTTCCGACCTTCCACAAAGCGTAGTGAAGTGAGAGTTCCTGTCATGAGATTTATATACTTTACAACTTATTCACTTACTTACTAGTAAAAACCCGCAAAATGTTAGAAGATGAGACACGAACGAGGTTCATTATGAGTAAAATAACTTGCTTTGACATCCAAACTCCTAAAAAACTCAACTTAGATTTCCCGGTTTACTTACTGGAATTCAACTAACTTTGGTGGTCGACTTTTCGGATACATCAAGCATCAGGAAAACATGCTACTCGTTAACTGATAAAAACTTACCATCTTTTTAATACCAGAATCAGAGTTCGGGTGCAAAGCATAGCACAGTTGTGGTGCTGTTTTCGGAATATTAAGGCGCATATATGGACGCTAGCGTTATGGCGATGAAAATTAAAACAGGGCTGGATATTAAGAATAATGCTAGGATTTCATTTTAACTAGCAGAAATTGTGTTCAGTTGATCCTGGAATCTGGCAACATAAAAGCACACGTATCATAGAATTTACCAAAGAGATTTCATGGTGTTGTTTTCATCCAATCAACAGACGACCTTTTATCAGCCTGGATGTTTGGCGACAAAACGATCCGGAAAAACAGTCATTCTAAGCCACCAAGTTTCCAATGCAAAAATCAAAACTGAAGGTGCGAAATTCACTTGGAAGGTGACGCCCACAAGTAATCCAACTGAATTCATTCTCATCAACCATACATTTGACTCGTTCTGCCGAAGAAACCAGAGCATCATTATTTGAGTTTTAGCGATCTCATTAGTTAGCGAAGAACGAATAAACAGGAAGTGACGCAGAAACCCGTTTTGGGCTATCACTTGTTCCAATATCCTACTTCAGCAAGCAGTGTTTGTGTGTTATTAGGACCGTGACATTTTAGATTTTCAGATAAAATTCTTATACAAGTATCGCATCAGGAGTCTAATGATAGCTAGCATCCAAAGCATGTTCAAGAGCTGGAAATAAAGTTCAAAGCATTGCACATGAATCAAGATAACTTAGCTTGACACTGCAGATACAACCAAACAAACAGCAATCATAACGCGAACTTTATTGCAAGATGGCTCAAGTATGGTGAAGCTGTGAGGAAAATGTGGTCATTTGGCTCATGAATGGTATTACTCCGAAATCTAGTTAGTAGACGCAATACGAGAAATTAGAATGAGAAGATATGACCATAAATGTATGTTACCACTAGCAAGGTGTGGCAAATACGGCGAATTCTCAAAAGACTCCAACTGGTGTTTCACCGTCAAAAAGCATTGATTAATCTGATGATTGGTGCACATTTGGGCGTGTTTTCGGAGCAAACTTCGGAAACCCTGTGGTTAGGTTTTAGCACCAGTAGACACGACTTATTTTAAAAACTTATTATGTGCACTGAATTGATGTTGAGACAGACAACATGTCAAGTCCCGTTATCATTGACAGGTAGTTATGTCTTTGGAAGTGTCGGTTCTACCGATGTCAACTCAACGTTCACTCTTCTGTTGGGATGCCATAGATCGTTGGAGCTAGTTAATGAGAGCTTAACTGCTTTATTCTCCATAACACACCATTTTGCACTCATATGTTCATACTTTTATTCTGGTTCCAGTTTGTGTGCATGGACGAACTTTACTTGATATTCCAACACAACTGTGTCAGTTGTGCATTCACACCTCGTTGTCTATGTTGCGATTAGCAAAAAGAAGTTAATTGGAACCATCAATGTGCTCTATCCAAGTCAAGATGAGTACATCAAGTTCTCAGGGCTCGAGATCAAACCAAATTAAAAATTTAGTTTGAATGACACATGTGAACCAGACATAAAAAACAAGCTTTTTTATCGTTGGTAGTGTGAGGAGATTTAGGATTTTTTGGGATGTCTATGTTGCGATTAGCAAAAAGAAGTTAATTGGAACCATCAATGTGCTCTATCCAAGTCAAGATGAGTACATCAAGTTCTCAGGGCTCGAGATCAAACCAAATTAAAAATTTAGTTTGAATGACACCTGTGAACCAGACATAAAAAACAAGCTTTTTTATCGTTGGTAGTGTGAGGAGATTTAGGATTTTTTTGGGATTTTGTCCTGTAAGTGAAGCAAATCTATGCTCAAAAGCCGAGAAGCACTGTACAGTTGTTTCATCCTTATTGGGAATCACCAGCAGTGCGCATCTCACGAAACTCCGAAGAGTCTCGAACCCGCGACCTTCCGGCTTTGAACCGACGAGCTATTCTATGACCCGTACTACCATTTCTCCGTCTTCTATGGCTTTCTAAACATACATTAACCATGATTACGTAATGCTTATTCCGTTTGGAGTTACAAAAATTCCGCAGAATTATACAGACATTCTAATAGCTGCTTTTTTTCCTTTAACAATAATATGCGGGAGTTAAATTGGATAGTGTGGCCTGAAACGCGCAAGCCACCAAAGAGCTGTATGAATTTTCTTTGAAGCGAACACACATTAGTCCGATATGCATTTGAGTAGTTTGCCAAGGATGCTGATAATTTCTTCATCTCTGTGTTGGTTAAAAGTCTAAGGCTAGCACTCTTCACAGGAGGTTTTCCTCACGATAACACCCAATCCCCTCTTGGGTTTTTTGAGGTACCTAAAAGCAGTTGGCTTGTAAAGCAGGTAACAACTTCTGATGTCCCATCAACACCATCGTAAACCAGTCATTTTTTTCAACCAATATTCCAGCCAAAACACTGTGATATCATTTTACATTTGTTGCAGCTGGATACACATTTCAAACACAGGATTTTACTGGCGAGCTATTTGCCTGTAAATGGAATGCAAGAAAGCTGCACGGGTCATTCACCTGACTGTTGACCGGCATTACCCTGTTCTTGTTTTCCAGCCGTAGTAGGACGATCAAACACTGCTTCGTTTCATTGATTTCCAGAGCTGCTAGTTCTGTAACAATAGGTCACAGTTCACTGCGGGGCTAGTCTAATTCTTGTCAAATAAATGGAGGCGCGAGAAAAATGAAACTGAATGGCTCTATGTTTGAAGCTAGCTAAATATAGCAAAAAAATATGACTCCTCTGCAAGACGTCCACTTAGTATATTTCTAGCCAAATCGTCCCTCCTGCACGCTAAATGAACGTCGTGGTTATTTCATCGAAAGGAAAAGTGTATTCAATCTAATATTTTATTAGAATTGGAACAACAAGCAATCTGACTTGCTGATTTCAACATTCTGTTTGTTTGCTTAATAAGTCAGTTAATTTTAGGAGAAAAGATGTTGGGGAAGGTATGTTTTGTATGATATATTAAACATCACGTTTGCCAAGCCAGTGAGAAACAACAGCAAGTGCAAAGGAGGTCTAAATTAACAATTGCATGAAGTGATGTCTCCGCTATCTGCACTGGAAAAAATCTGAAAAGGAGTTGCCGTGCCCATAGTTCTCCATTAAAAAAATGCAACTTTTATAATAAATGTCATGGTTTTGGGTTGGGAAGAACTAGTTTCCGCTTTACTTAGCCACTTCAGGTTCAAATAGATCATTTAACCTCTCCCAAGGATAGTTTTGGCTTACATGCATTCATGTTGTTGTCACTATGTCATCAATATTTTTTAATGTATCTTTAAAAATGATTCGATTTCAAGGCTGTTTCGTTGTAGAAAGGGCAATTTTGTCTTTCACTTACCACGTCACACGGATCAACCGGTAGTGTGTCTTGTGCACCAGTCTGACTTTCGTAGTACTGTTGCCAAGGGAGTTTCACACCGTCGCGTTCTTGTGCAGATATTGTCAAGGCTGTAAAGATATGGTTTATCTAACAGTGGGTTGTAGTGTTCTAGATATGGACAAAAGTATCCTATTGAACAAGTTGTCACAGGTTTTTTCTCCCTTTCATATTAATTCTTAGGCTGTGGTTTTCAATACAATTACGTCTGAAATTTAGTGATGCGCTTAACTGTAGCAGAGGCGTACGGTTTCATATCAACCGGAGTATTATTACATTATGAGGGCAAAGGAAAATGAGCAAAGGTACACCCTACTCAGGTTATTGGGCCTGGTAACTATCCCAGCTCCGCTCAGGTTCATACGAACTATAAGAAAAACATTGTGTTCTATGTTATGCCAAAATAACGATAGGGATCTTCAGTCTGCTTTCCAAAACCCGACCATGCGCCTTGGGTGCTTCAGTCACGTATTCTGAGCTATCCAAGGGAAAATTCAATAACTTGAATCATCTTGTCACCAGTAAACAACTTAAGCTTCCTTCCCGGCATCTTCCACCAAAATTTGATGCAAATTGCACCGGGCTTAGTTCACTCATCAGTAAATAGTAGGATGGTTTGTAAAAATATGTTAATAATGCAAGATGGGTCGTGCGTCCTTACCAAGATTGTCTGCCTGATCAGCCATCTTGGCAAGTAGCAACAGATAACACTTCCACCTCTTTCACTTCTACCGCAACAGAAATTTTTGTTTTCATTTAAATCAACAGCCTATTTTTGTAATGTACTACTCATAAGGTTGCTGAAAATCCGTCGACAGCCCACGACCGGTTTTGCCCTTCTTGGGTCTCATTAGTTAGGCGCATTCCCCGGGTTTCCGTCAACCTTATGTTCTAGTTGAAACCAAATTGCACGAAATTAGCGAATATACATTCATTTGCAAACAAATGTGCTTTTTTCGAGAGACTCACCTTGAACCCAGCTTAATCTCTTGTTTGTGACGTTCTCAGGTTGTCGACGGATTTTCAGCAACCTTATGAGTAGTACATTACAAAAATAGGCTGTTGATTTAAATGAAAACAAAAATTTCTGTTGCGGTAGAAGTGAAAGAGGTGGAAGTGTTATCTGTTGCTACTTGCCAAGATGGCTGATCAGGCAGATAATCTTGGTAAGGACGCACGACCCATCTTGCATTATTAACATATTTTTACAAACCATCCTACTATTTACTGATGAGTGAACTAAGCCCGGTGCAATTTGCATCAAATTTTGGTGGAAGATGCCGGGAAGGAAGCTTAAGTTGTTTACTG